TCAAGGTAGTGACCCAGAATGATCAATGCTAAACTGAAACTGAAAGTCGTTTGGCAGAAAGGTGAAATCCTTCCTATAATAAGGATTCATACTTATTTTCTCCTAGTAACACCCAGATAGAACAGAACCACATAAAAGGTACCTGCTAGAGAGAGTAAACCTATAAAAAAGAAACTTCTTATCAGGAAGGGCACTTGCATTTCAATACAAAATCCGCGACTACATTATTCCATCATCACAATGTGGTCGTGAGGAGATAAATTTATTCGGGTGAAAGGTTTACCCTAACTGACAAGGAGTCGAACTCACTCTCTCCCAGTTCTACCCAGAGAGAACAGAAACACAAACCACATAACCACATGACCAGAATCAACATAAGCTCCGTGGTTTAATAGTTATTCTTAGAGGGTCGTGTGGTCGGCAGATTTCATTCTCTCTCTGGATAATTACGGTTCCATATAAAATGCATTACTGGGTTACTCCAAATGAGGGAATTTAAATGGTTCTTAACTGTTTTCACTTATAATTATCTCACTTTACACTGATGTGATATCAGTGATCTTCAGAAGAAAATAAAATTAAAGAATATATATATGTATATATATATTCAGTGATTTTCAGACAAATATCAACATGCAAATAGTTTCTTTTTAGCATTTATACGTCTGTAATGAAGGTAAGCAATTATAAAAGAAGACATATCCCATAATTTGCAAAAAAAAAAAAAAATCGAAATCAACAAGAAACAAATCTTTTTAAAAAAAATCTTCCTCAAATTCAAATCAAGAAAACGAACCCAACAAAATCAAAATCAAGAAAACGAACCCAACAAAAATCAAATTCTCTTTTTAAAACTCCATTTGGGCCTTAATATCTCCGTACTTTGTCCACGATCTTCTCTCCTTCGAGCTTGGCCAGCTGTTGACACCGGCAGATGATCATCTCCACGTCATTGGTGACCTCTTGTCCCATCTCCGTCAGTCCCAGAGCCTCGACGACGCGGTTCAAGATGCGCTCGGTCTGGAATAGGTCAGTCGAGGTCAGGCGAGGTCAGGTGAGGTCAGGTGATTTTTAGCAAAGTTGGTAGGATGTTGTTTTTTTTTAAATTAGATTAATGATATCTGTATTGAGGTCAGGCGATTTTAAGCAAAGTTGGTAGGTTGTTTTTTTTTATTAGATTAATGATATCTGTATTGATTTTTTAAATTGGTTTAATCGTATCTAGTATTTTTTTTATGATAGGTTGTCATGGTAACACTACTATCCATCCCCCCCTCCCGCCTTCCCCTTTCCCCCTCAACCCCCCCTAATATATATCCCATCCCTCTCCCCTCCTCTTGCCCCTCCCTCCCTCCCATCCATCCCTCTCCCTCTATCTTGCCCCTTCCCCTCCCCTCCCCCTGCCACTCCTCTCCTCCTCTTGCCCCTTCCCCTGCCTCTCTTCCCCTCCCACCTGCCCCTCCTCCCCTCTCCCGCCTTCCCCCTTCACCCCCCCCCAACCTCTCCACATCTCCCTCAACCCCCCCCCCCCCCCCCCCAACCTCTCTACATCTCCCTCCCACCCTCACCTTTTCCTTCTCAATAACCACATGCTCCCTCGCCGCCTCCGCCGTCTGCGCGTCGGCCTCCAGCTGCCTCCCTCGGGTGGTGAGCGCGTGCACCTCCGCCTCGCACTGCCGCCCTCGCTTCACTGCCGTTTCGTAGAGTTCGGATTGGCGTCTCGACTGCTCGCCCAGACTCGTCACTTGCGAGGTGAGGCGTTCGATGTGCTGTTGGATGGGGGGGGGGATTGATAGAATAATAATAGAAATAATGGAAATTAAATAATGATGAAAATAGATAAAGTAATAAAAGTGAATAGAATAATAAAAATAATGGAAATAAAATAATGATAAAAATAGATGAAGTAATAATAAAAATAAATAGAGTAATAATAGAAATAATGGAAATAGAATGATGATGAAAATAGATAAAGTAATAATAAAAATAAATAGAATAATGATAGAAATAATGGAAATAAAATAATGATAAAAATAGATAAAGTAATAATAAAAATAAACAAAAAATAATAGAAATAGTAGAAATAAAATAATGATAAAAATAGTATAGTAACATCTAATAAAAATAAGAAAAAATCGGCGAGTCAGTTATATGATGATAGACACAAAAGACGTTTAGTGGGTTGGGATGATATCAAGACTGAAATGGCAGTGGGTACAAAAATGGAATAGTGAGTTGAAATGAAATTAATGATAAAGTGGCAATAGACACAAATTTCGGTGAGTTGGAATGAGGTAGTCACAGTTGGAATGACAATTGACACAAAAATCGGTACGTAAGTTGGAACAAAATTATAACAAAATGACACAAGACACAAAAATGAAGCGAATAAATAACAAAATTCATTAAGTGCGTAACCCCCACCGGGTGAGCGTCCAGAAGCCCTCACCTCTGGTGTCTCCGTGGGTTACGTACTTATTATTATTAATATTATTTACAATTTACGTAGCCCACATCTGTCACCTCCGTGGGTTCCATACTTATTTACTCTAATTATTGACGTAGACCTCACCTCTGCCGAATTACGAACTCACTTATTTACTTTAATAATTTACGTAAACCTCACCACTGCCAAATAACGAACTCATCTACATTTATGAATCACGTAGCCCCCCTCACCTCCGCCGCCTCCCTATTGGCTGCCACGAGCGCCTGAATCTTGTCATTAATGGCCTGGACGTCGGGAGCCACGCGCTGCTCGGGACTCGACAGTAGGGCGGCCACCGTCGTCAGGAACCCACGGCTCTCGACTTCGCTCTGCTGACGGCGGTGATCGGACACCACGGATTCGTCTGCAGGAGGGGAAGGGGGTGGAGGAGGGAGGGGAAGGGAGAGAAGGGGGTGGGGGTGGGGGAGGGATGGAGAAGGGGTAGGGAAGGGGGTGGAGACGGGGGTAGGGAAGGGGTGGGAAAGGGGAGGGAAGGGGGTGGGGAAGAGGTGGGGGTGGGGGTGGGGAAGGGGGGGAAGGAGGTGGAGAGGGGGTAGGGAAGGGGTGGGGAAGGGGGTGGAGAAGGGGTAGGGGAGGGGGAGGTAAGGGATAGCAATACATCAGAAAAACAACAACGATAAGAACTTGATACAAAATGAATAGAGAGAAAAAAACATCCTGAAAAACACACACGCCAACAACAATTTGATATAACAAAGAAAACAAAAACACACTCGCAATCATATACAATAAAAAAACAAGCAAAAACACACACAGGCAAAAACAAAACAAAAAAAAAACAGACAAAAGACACACACACACAAAAAAAAACACAGGCAAAAACACACACACAAGTAAAGTCACACACGGGCAAAAACATACACAATCAAAAAGAAACACACAAGCAAAATCAAACACACACAGACAAAAACACACAGAGGTAATAACACACATAAGTATAATCACACAAGTAAAAACACACAGGCAAAAAACACTTACACAATCAAAAACAAACACACAAGCAAATTCAAACACACACAAACAAAAACACACCCAGGCAAAAACACACACACACAGACTCCCCCTCCCCCCGTCCTAATCCAAGCACCCCCACCCCCCTCCTCTTACCTTTGGCCTGTTGCAACTGTTTCTCCGCCGCGTGCAATTCCTCCAGAGTTGCATTGTAGGATTTGTTGGTGTTGTGCAATCTCTCCCTCACGCTCTTCACTTCCTCCTCCAGGGCTCGCAGTCTTGTCCTAAGGTCGTCGTTTTCCTTGTTGGCAAAGGTATTATCGCCTTTAGGTATTATTGTCTTCACTGTGCGTATGTTTTTTTTTTATGTAACTCTATACATCTTTTATTTTATTCATGTGTTCATTTATTTATTCATATAATGTATGGTATAGAGGTATTTGTGATTAAAGGCAAATTATTTGACGTCAAACGGTTACTTGGGTAGCCAATTCAGACCCTAACAATATATATATATATACAGCACATACCTATATATGTGTGTGTGTGTACATACATGTATCTATGTATATATATATATATATATATATATATATATATATATATATATATATATATATATATATATATATATATTAATGTGTGCACACACGCACACACACACATATATGTATATATATATATATATATATATATATATATATATATATATATATGTGTGTGTGTGTGTGTGTGTGTGTGTGTGTGTGTGTGTGTGTGTGTGTGTGTGCGTATACGTGTGCGTGAAAGACAGACATCCGTCTGAAAACCGTGTAAAAATCTGATCCGAATGACAGAGGAAACCCCGCCATAAAATCCATTAACGCACAATATTTTCCCCACTGTGACGGGTTTCCGGCCGCATACACCAACGAGAGACAACGTAAACAGCACCCTACCTTCCTGAATTCAGTCAGACCTAGTTTCTGTTCCTCGACCGTCCGTTTCTCGTCGTCCAGTTCGTTAACGAGACGCGAAACGGTCTGTCTCGCCGAGCCCGCTTCCCCCTCGGCCAACTGAAGAGATTCGTCCAGCTGAAGCGTCTGACTTCGTAGCCTCGCGCATTCCTGGTGGTTTAGGGATTCATGAAGGTTAAAAAAAGTGATTACTTTGAGTGTGTGAAGATTAGGGGATCAAGGTATATATATATAACCAGGTAGCTCCACTCCCTTACATTCTATTGAACCCAAATATGAAACTGGATTTTCTTTTTCTTTCTTCCTCTTCCTCTTCCTTCTTCTAAGGTAGCTCCACTTCCCTTACATCCTATTAAACCCAAACATAAAACTGACTTTTTTCTTTCTTTCTTTCTACCTCTTCCTCATCTTCCCTTCCTCTTTTCTTCCTCTCAATCGCCCCCCTCCCCCCTCCCCCCCTTACCTGCACGAGTTCAGCCAATCTGGACGATAACTTCTCCTGAGCGTCTTTTGGATCGAGGTCACCCAGGCTGAGAGAAGAGGTCACGACCCGAATCAGTTCCACCAGCCTCTTGTGGGCGTGTTCACTCCGCTGTTCCGCCGCTTCGCGTTCCTCGAGGTGTGTTCTGCAGAGTGGGCGTGGGGCAGAAGACGGGAGAGGGAGGGAGGAGAAGGAGGGAGAGGGAGGGAGGGAGGGAGGGAGGAGAGGAAAGGGGAGGGAGAGGGAGGGAGAGGGAGGGTGAAAGGGAGGAGAGGAAAGGGGAGGGAGGGAGGGAGAGGGAGGGTGAAAGGGAGGAGGAAGGGGAAGGAGGGAGAGGGAGGGTGAAAGGGAGGAGAGGAAAGGGGAGGGAGAGGGAGAGTGGGAGGAGAGGACAGGGGAGGGAGAAGGAGGGTGAAAGGGGGGAGGGAAGGAGAGGGAGAGGGAGGGTGAAATGGGAGAAAGGAGGGAGGGGGAAAAGGAGAGGGAGGGAGCGTAGAAGGATAGGGAAAGGGAGAGAAGAAAGGAAAGAGGTAGGGTGAAAAGGAAGAAGTATAGGAGATAGAGAGAGGTGGGGGGGGGAGTTAGAGGGAGAAGGAAAGATAGGAAGAGAGAGAGAGAGAGAGAGAGAGAGAGAGAGAGAGAGAGAGAGAGAGAGAGAGAGAATGAGAAAGAGAGAAAGAGAGAGAGAGAAAAAAAAAGAGAGAGAGAGAGAGAGAGCGAGACCGAGAGATTCAGAACAAAAGAGCAAGGATTTTTTTTTTTTTCAAGGAAAGAAAAATCTGGCATCAGTCCTATAACACTCGAAATCGTAAATTATACAGCGTAAAGAACTATATATAACATATAACATACAGCACATAACAAATGCAATATATAACCAAGTTGTTTAAGGAACATGGTTATCTATGTTTCTTACCTTCGAGTCTGACCTCCGATCTCCCTCAACCTTTCCCTCGAGTCCGACCTCCAATCTCCCTCAACCTTCCCTTCAAGCCCGACCTCCAATCTCCCTCAACCTTTCCCTCGAGTCCGACCTCCAATCTCCCTCAACCTTTCCCTCGAGTCCGACCTCCAATCTCCCTCAACCTTTCCCTCGAGTCCGACCTCCAATCTCCCTCAACCTTTCCCTCGAGTCCGACCTCCAATCTCCCTCAACCTTCCCTTCAAGCCCGACCTCCAATCTCCCTCAACCTTTCCCTCGAGTCCGACCTCCAATCTTCCTCAACCTTCCCTTCAAGTCCGACCTCCAATCTCCCTCAACCTTCCCTTCAAGCCCGACCTCCAATCTCCCTCAACCTTTCCCTCGAGTCCGACCTCCAATCTCCCTCAACCTTTCCCTCGAGTCCGACCTCCAATCTCCCTCAACCTTCCCTTCAAGTCCGACCTCCAATCTCCCTCAACCTTCCCTTCAAGCCCGACCTCCAATCTCCCTCAACCTTTCCCTCGAGTCCGACCTCCAATCTCCCTCAACCTTCCCTTCAAGTCCGACCTCCAATCTCCCTCAACCTTCCCTTCAAGCCCGACCTCCAACCACCCTCAACCTTCCCCTCGAGTCCGACCTCCAATCTCCCTCAACCTTCCCTTCAAGCCCGACCTCCAATCTCCCTCAACCTTTCCCTCGAGTCCGACCTCCAATCTCCCTCAACCTTCCCTTCAAGTCCGACCTCCAACCACCCTCAACCTTCCCTTCAAGCCCGACCTCCAACCACCCTCAATCTCACCTCCAAACCTAACCTCTGACCCTCTGAAATCTGACCTACTTTAACCTGACCCCCTGAAATCTGGCCTCCGAACCTGACCCCCGAAATCTGACCTACCTTAACCTAACCTCTGACCCCTTGAAATCTGACCTCAGAACCTAACCTCTGACCTACCTTAACCGAACTCCTGAATGACCCCCTGAAATCTGACCTACCTTAACCTGACCCCCTGATATCTGACCTTCTGACTTCTGACCTACGAACCTGACCCGTGAATGACCCCCTGAAATCTGACCTACCTTAACCTGACCCTCTGAAATCTGACCTTCTGACTTCTGACCTACGAACCTGACCCGTGAATGACCCCCTGAAATCTGACCTACCTTAACCTGACCCCCTGAAATCTGACCTTCTGACCTCTGACCTACCTTAGCCTGCATTCGAGTTCGCTAATCCGGTCAGCATACTGTCTGTTCTCCCTGTTGATGGCACCGAGGGAATATTCGCTTCTGCGCTGGTTGGCTCGAAGGGAAACACACGCGGACTCTTCTTCCTGGTTCGAGGAGATGATTGAATTCGTGTTATATTTTTATTTTTACTTTTTTTTTTATTTGATATTTATTTTTTTTCTCATTTATTTATTCTATTTTTTTACTGATTCTTCTTCCTGGTTCGAGGAGGAGATGATTGAATTCGTGTTATATTTTTATTTTTACTTTTTTTTTTATTTGATATTTATTTTTTTTTTCATTTATTTATTCTATTTTTTTACTGATTCTTCTTCCTGGTTCGAGGAGGAGATGATTGAATTCGTGTTATATTTTTATTTTTACTTTTTTTTTTAATTTATTTATCGTTTTGTTTTGCATTTGTTATTATTTTTTTATATTTGATATTCATTTT